ATTATTTTTTAATAACATATTTCTTAAGTATCTGCCAACCCAGTTCAGTGCACAAAACGAGCCTCTGCCACGCTGCCAGTTGGGCTTTCTTCGGCATCGTTCGCCTCCTGACCATAATTTGTGAGGCCTGCCTGAGATCCCGATCCCTCTTCTCCTCCTTTATTCCTACACCGAGAGAAATGTTAGTGAAAATGTAAATTTTAAATAAAGAAAATATTTACATAACTAATATTTCCAATATTTTTGAGTAGTGAAAAATGAGAGATAAATAAGTATTACTAAAATAGGTTTCCTTTTTGGTTTGTGGGTTGTAGTATCTCTAATATCAATTAATCATTACAATTTTTTAAAAATAAACCTATTGGTTACACTGTCCTTAAAATATTTTAAGAGGATACATTTTAGTTGCTTCTGTCCCATTGAGTTATTTTTAAGTTAAATTTTTTTAATATTGAAATATATTTATTTTAATATTTTTCCTTTGTGCAGACCTCAACGTTCGACTCGTCGTCGCCGTTCAAAGTGATTGCCACCCCATTAAAAAAACGGCTGCGCCTTCTAGTTGCTGTTGGTGTTGCTGCTGTTGTTGTTGCAGCCTTGGCTCCTGCCACGATCACTCAATAAGTCTAGACAAAATGTACCTGGTACCTGTGATTGTCGCTCCTCGATGGGGAAAAGTGGGGGATAGCTGCCGTAATGGATCAGCACGTTGCCAGGTCCGTTGAGTTGAGTAGAGTTGAGTTGAGCTGCCTGCCAGCCTGTTGCCTTTCAGACGTCGTCTCTACGTCATCAGCAACAATAATAACAACAGCGGCAGCAGCAACAACAGCAACAACAACAGCCATCAGTTTTGGGGGAAGGGAAGCTCCTTCAATCGTGAAAAAGCCAGCAACCATCATATTTGTTGCATGATTATGTGGTAATTGCGGCTGTCAATAAAACTCCCCCGTTTTATTCTTTACAACCGAAAGCATTCTACGCCTATATTTTCCTTATGAATATGCACACACTGAGAGAAATACCGAAGAAGTTACAACAGGATCTTTTCACGTGGCGAAGAAAGTATTAATATTTATTGATGCCTTTCAATCTTGTATTATTATAGATAGAACAAAAAATCTATTAGATGCTTACAAATTAACTTAAAAGATGTTTATGGATAATAAAGCTAGTTATTGTAATATTTTATTGATAATGTATTAATTTAGAATTAATTGAATTAGGGATTTATTTATTTGAAATAAATATCAGTTTAATGGTATTTTCCTGCGTGCATTTAGACATGTAAAAGCGTATTTATATATAGAGGGAAAGATGGATTCACGATGGGTTCCGTTCCCTACTATGATTTAGTTTGACAAAGGAGTGACATCCAAGTACTTAAGTGATTTCTTTACACCTTTTATGGAGTAGTTAATGCGGTATGCGCATAAGTCTCACATTGAGCAAAGTCATGCCCCCTGGTTCTTGTAGCCCCCTCCCCTCGCCAACAGCCCCTTGAACCCCAAAACCACCGATACACTCTATCCCGATTCATGGCACCCACAAAACCACAAAACCTATACAAAACCCATGCACTTAGCGGCGTTTAGGCTGTGCCTTTTGTCTGCCTTGTTTTTTTTTACCCTGGGAAGCGATCGAATGCGTCTCAAAACCCAACTCCTGTTCCATAATCATAATCGGTTCGAAGACTCAGTTTTGTGAATCATTGGGATCGGCGTTGAGTTCAGTAAGTAAGTCTCGAGTGGAGCTACTCGATGTTTATTGTGTTCGGAACTCAGAATTATGTGGCACTTGTCTATCGTTGGAGATTTTATATCCATCGTTCTCAATCGTTAAAATAAAATGAAATATTACATTTAAATTTAAATACAAATACCAATTTTACTACTTGTTTTAAAAGCAGTACTATATTTTTTAATCTAATACCTTAAGACATAATATCTCTGGCTTTAGTTATCATGCTAACTTGGTTTCTTCTGAAACCGCTTCTAAGCAAAATTAAAAAAAAAACATTTAAAAAAATATATAGGCACCAAAAAAAAAAATAATAAATGAAAAAAATAAATTTTTGCACTGCTTTTATTTAATAATACCAATAATACTTTCTTTATGTACTAGGCCCAAAAAGTTTAGGATTAATCTCGGCAGTCGAACATAAATCTCTAGAATCGAAGCCCATTTTGATAACTTTGTTTGCCTACTCTGGCTAACAATTTCCGTTCCATTTGTGCAACTGTTAGCCCAATTGCAGACCCCCGGGCCAGTTTGGTTGGCGCAGTGGGCGTGTTATGCTTGTTACTCGCAGATTGCGGCAATTGCATCCAAAAGTGGGGCCCGCGACTGAGTTTTCAACGCTTCATCGCCAGTTATCGGGCCATGCCCCAATCCAGTTCGAGCGTTTAGTCTCCGTCTGTCTAGGTGTTAAATATCGAGAGAGGCCCGGCCACCAGCTTCCTTCCTTTCCAGCCATTATATATGGTGGCTACATTCAGATATATATATTTCTGCTATGACGCTGTGGCATCCATCTGGGAGTTCCAGCGCACTGGAGACATTTATCGCGCGTTGGTGTCGGCTCTATCTGGGCGATGTGTTGTTGTAGGTGCGGAAAGTGGTCCACACGAGATTAGGGTGTAGCTGTAGCTATCAAGTCGTCTTGCTGTTCCGCCTGCGACTCCCCGGCGGGTGGGTAGCGAATAAAAGCGCCAAAACACTTAATGCATTTGGAGCAGATACACACTGAGGAAGAAAAGGCACTCAAACGTGCAATCAAATCAATCGAATGGATCGTAGTTAAGGATTTTTATATGTTTCTTACGTGTAAGTGCAAGTAATAGACCCTTAAAATCCTAAATTAATTATCCTATTAAAGATATATATTCGGTAAAAAATTTAAAGTAATTTTATATTGGTGCTGGATTTAAAAGTGTCTGTAGAACAGTTCTACAATATATTCTTAAGACCTAAAATTTACAATGTCTAAAGTAAAATATCAAATAATTAGATAACTACTAATAAAATAAAATAAAATAAATAATAAGGACTTTCAAATTTCAAAATGTTAGTGGTCAAACTTTTATAAATTATTTTCAATTGTAATATTTAATTGATTAATTTAGTTAGTCAACGTTTCATGGACATTGAGCATTTATTCTTAGTTTGGGAGACTTAAAATGTCGTTATTGTTACATAGTTTAAAACAGTTTCCCAGTGTATCACTTACACCAGCCCAGTTTCGAATAGCCCGTAAATGGAGCTCCAAGTCTAAGATTGGTAGCCTGGGTGCGTCTTCCTCATCACCGTCATAGTCATCGTCAACTTCGTCGGCTTCCTCGTCTTTAGCGTCTGGATCCGACTGTGTGCTGAGCTTGTTAGCAAAAAAGAAAAAAATAAAACGGTCGCTGCTGGGTGTTGGCCAATCTTTAAAGATCAAACAATAAACTTAAAGATCTGCTGGGCTTCCACTGCTCTCCTCTCCTTTTCTCGCCTTCGACATGCAAATTGTGCAGCCGAAGAAGTGTCAAACAATGTCAGTGGGAGAATGTGTCTCGCAATTGAAATTTATTTGCACTACAATTCACTGCTGACAATGCGAGGAGGCATTGGGATGTACTACCTTACTTAGCCCGCTTTCCCTCCCACCGGCACCCTGCCCCCCTCTCGACGTTCCGCCCATGTCCCTGGACCCTCTGCCGCCCCCCGAAAAATACCCTCTGCCCAAAAATCACAGTCGGAGCTAGCGATCTCTAACCCGTCAACTCGTCAAGCTGTGAGCGTCAATCCACAACAAAGTCAACGACAAAGAAGACGGCCAAGCCTGCCTTGAGGATTACACTGGAAAAATGGGGCAGAAATAAGTAAAAATAAAATAATTAATTTTAATAATTAAAAATAATTAAGTATTCAAAAATAAAAGGAATTTACATAAGCCGTGTAACCTCTAATTATGACTTTATTGATGAGTTAAAAACTTTTTCTAAAAGAATTTTATAACTATTTAATATGTAACTAAATACTGTAAATATTTAATTTTTCCTGTAATTTAAAATAATTTTGGAAAATTAAGAAAATAGTTAAAATCGAAGTTACTGTATTTCATTCAGTGGGAAACATATTGGTAAATAGTAAAATATATTTTTAAATATTTTTTAGCCTGTCCAAATATTATTTTGCTTTATTTATTTTGCTTTATTGTGGTCTACAGTTTTCTTCCCAGTGATTGATTGAAGCTCAGCCTCATTCATGAGCCCAGGGCCCAGAAGGCAGGCATAGGAATCGGCATCGAGCGGCAGCGTTTTGTCGCTCGAATCGCTCACAGCTTCTGTGCTGTGATTTTGCCAATTGGCAATTGCCTCCTCCGGTGCCGTGAGCATTTGCAAAATGTCAATCTGGTGCTGTGCATCAATTCAAGTGTGAAATAAATAGAAACGAATCCAGGTCCCAAAGTCTAGCATTTTGCTATAATTTTCGCGCCATTTGCTGTCGACTTTGCCTGTCCGTCCGTCAGTCGGCTGTCTGTCCGTATGGCTGGCTGGCTTTTTGTCGAACGATCGGTAAAGAAAGAGGAGCTATAGCTATGCTGAAAGTATTTACAATTACGCAAAGATTGATTGAAATAGATTTCGGATTGATTGGCTGCTGGTATGCACATTGCTTGGAGTTCTTTTTCGCAATGATGGTGGGAATCGCAGGTTGTGTGAAAGAGGTTAAGGAGGTTAAGAGCCGGCTCCTCGGCTCTGCTCGGCTCGGCGCTGGGATAATTTCTAATTAAGCTGCTCCGTCCGCCGCCGCGAGAAGCTGCATTTTATGCGACACATTTATCCATCAGATACTCTTTTTTCTTTTTATTGATTGCCATCGGGCAAAGCAGCGCCGCAGGAGTCTGAGAAATCAGCTTTCTCCGCCGATCTCGTAGATCGTGGAACGTCGTCGTTTTGGTACAAAAACCGAAATCAAAACCTAAAACCAAGCCCAATCAATAAAAGAAACTCTTGTTCATCTAAATATTTATTTGTATTTATTTGTGGTGACAGCAATAATAATTTTCTCGATCATCATTTCGACTGATTTGCATACCAAATCATCACACGAAAAGGAAAAATACTTATGCAATAGTTATAATTAATAATTTATGCTATTTGCTATACAACTTTGTTTTACATTTACATCCATGGATTGTCGTACATTTAAAATTTGCTAATTGTGACTAATAACTCGGGCGATCCTCAAAGCGAGTAAGATTACACAGAATTTGTCTACCAGCGGTACATATAATATTTCTATAGAACGAATCATGTTTTTTAAACTAACAAATACTCTTGGGGGGGATTGGAAACGTCTAAGTAATAGCTAGTCATTTAATATTATACTTTATATATGGTTTATAGCTTAGAAGAAAACGAAACTTACGGATTACAAATTCCACTACGATATTATTATGCATACGCGATACAGATAAGCTGCCCTTTTTGCATATTTTGCTACAGTTTCTTCCATTTCATCATTTGTTTAGCTCTTCACTTATATTTTTATTTTGGGTTTCTGAACTTGTATTCTTGCCGCTTTTGTGGGCATACCGAAAAATTTGTTTATAATTCACTGCATAAATTATCGAAAGATAACATTTGTGTTATACTTTTCGGTCCCAATATGCAAATATATCTCTTGTCGGGGGCCGCTCGACTTTTGCATATTTTGGCAATTTGGTTAGTTGTTTTAAACGATGTGATAACATCTAACCAAAACGGCACGAACTCGTATTTAGCGCTTGTTAATCAGAGTCAAACTTTTCTGCCTCTGCCCCCAAAGAGTTCATATATATTATCTTATATAACTCACATGCGTTTATTGTTTCGTATATGCTTTGTATTTGTTTGTTTAGTTTTTTCTTCTTGTTTTTGGTGGTGATGGTGTCTTGGCGGGGGGCTAATTTTCTATTGCCTCAATCGATCTTCAGTGGCTGATAACTGTCATTTTGTTTTCGGATTTTTTTTTCTTTTCAGACCTTAGTGGTTAAATCCAAGGCATTCGAGGTGGCCACCTTAACGGGGGCCTCCAACTTCAGACGCTTGCCGTTCTCACTGGAGGCTTCTATGAGTTCGTCCAGTTCCCTTTTGATCGCTTTACTGGCCTTGCTATCACTTAGGATATTATTATTATTATTGTTATTGTTGTTGCTGCTGATACTGTTGTTGTTATTGTGGGTTTTTTCAATGCTGGTCTTTACTGTTTCAGTGGTACTGTTGTCCTCCTCCTCTGCATGATCCTCATGTGCCTCCTGGTCTGATAACTCCTCCTCCTTTGGCGTAACTTCCAGATCCTCCTCATCATCGTCTTCCGTATCGTTTTTCTCCATATCGCTCCATATCGAGATCTCGGGATCTGCCTTGATTTCGGGGCTACTGCTCTTGCTGCTCAGCGAACTACCCGTGGTCTTCATGCTCAGATCAATGGGATTATCTTGGCCGGGACTGGGATTTGGAAGCTCCTCAGCAGGGGTTTCCGCTTCCTGTTGAGCGGGTGAGTGGGGTGGCGTCATGGATACCACCAGATCCTCCTCCTCCTCCTCCTCTTCATCATCCTCGGCATTATCCATGATCTCCGGCACCCTCGACTCATCCTCCTCTTCGTTTTGGCCATTACTTTGCTCGCTCTTCACGCGCTCGCGGCCACTCTCTGAATTTGGTGTGACCAGAGCTGAAATTGAGTAATCCTGCTTTGAGTGTGGCGGTAGTTTTGTGGTCGGCGGTGGACTTTGCTGCTGGGACTTGAGCACAGCGTCCAAATAGAAGCGTTTGGTTAGCTCATCGGCGGCACCACCGTTCGTTAAGAGGTGGTTGTTGTTTGTGTGGTTACTTGGACTTCTGGGCGCTGCGGGCTGGTCTTCCTCTTTGTGGTGCTGCTGCTGGTGGTTGGCGAAAGGTGAAGTGCCCGGTGCGAATCGCTGGCCGGCACCACTGGAGTTGAACAAATGTTGGACGGCCGCCGCAGCCACCGCGGCCTGTTGTTGTTGCTGCTCTGGCGTGGGTTTCAGCAGACCCTGGTGGTGCGAATACAAGGCGGGATGATAGCCGGGGAAGAGCAGGTGCGAGGGGGGCAGGAACGCAGGTGGTGGCATCACGGGCATGGAAGTGAGTCCAGGGAAGGGTAGCGGCAGAAATGGCGACAAATCCTTGCGCATTTGTGGTGGCCTTCCTCCGTTGCCTCCACCCGATTGACTGCCATCGGCGCCACTCGAGGAGCTGGACTTTCCGCCCAAATGAAGCAGCGGATTGCCCCGCACCGAACTCACCTCCACTGAGCTGTCGGAGTTATGGGAATCCGGCGAGCTGACCGAGGGCGAGGCAACCACAGGATGCTTGTGGGAGCCGTACTCCCCGCTGCTCTCCAGTCCCAGCATCATCAGCTCCTCCTTACTCCGCACCGAACCGCCGGCATTTGCCACCGCATAGAGACCCGGATAGCCACCCGGATGCCCGAGCATTCCAAGGGCCGCTGCCGCCGCCGCCGGTGGAGGAACACCCGACATGCCCTTGCCCATTCCATTGGGCATTCCTGGACCACCGCCCGAGCCACCTGCTCCCGCACCACCGACACCCGCCTGCTGGCTGTTGTGGTGCGCCGCCATCGCAGCCACCGCCTGCTGCTGCTGCTCCTGCAGGAGGCAGTGGATCTTGAACCAGTTGGAGCGGCGGCCGTAGCGGGAGCCACTCTTCGACATGCCCACCATGAGGCACTTCTTCAGGCGACACGCCTTGCAGGCGGTGCGGTTCTTCTTGTTGATGATGCACTCGCCGTTGTTCTTGCAGTCCGAAATCGATGACAGATTGTTGTACGATCGGCCGAAGAAGGACTGTAAATTAAGGGAAAAATAATGGAAAGTAGGTTAGTAAAATAATGGCAAATAATATAATAATAACTTGCTAATAACGAATAATTTTAGTGGAAAAGTGGTATAATTCTATATGGTAAAATGAAATATTTTTAAAGCCTTTAGTTTTTTCAGTACTTTTACATTTATACATTTTTAATATTAATCTAAAAACGATTCCTCAATATATTTTAATTGTGCCATAACTAACTTTAAGTTAAAAAAGTCTAAAATATATATTTCACTGCGAAACCCTTAATCGTTTTCATTTGTAACCACTTCAGAATTCTCGTCACTCCTCCCTCAACAAAATCGATCTTCCCCAGTCACTTCTTTCATCGCTACCCATGATGTCATTCAATAAAACGCTTTCAATGCCCCACAATAATATCTCATTATATTTTAGTGATGATTCATCATCGGATCGGCTGGTTCGGGGCTGCTGAGACCGAGACCTCTTTAGGCGCAGTGCCAAAAAAAAACGAAGAAATAAGGCAAATCGACATGCACAAGCGGCAACCACCTACACCTCCGGCATTAACCGTTGGCTGGGGCACCACAGCCACAATCAATTGCAACAAAGCAAACAAACAATTTAATTCAATGCGGAGGAGCCATGAAAAGCTGAGAGCCAAAAGCTGAGATGAGAAAGAAACAAAAAGCCCGGGACAGAGGGCAACATGTTGCTGCTGCTGCTGCATGTTGCAAAGGTTATGGCTGTGCAACACTTATGCCAAGTTGCAATGTTGGCAGTAAATCACCAACGCTTCACGGCCTGCCCGCCTGCCTGGCTTTGCAATCAACCAAAAGGGACAGACTGCCTAAATGACTGACTGAATGGATACACTCGGAAAAGCGTGTCACTTTTTTTTTAAAACTTTTTCATGATATTTTCGAGACTAAAATTTTTAATTTCTGAGAATTTATTTGGTAACTTTTTTAGATATATGGTTTGATATTTAATTTTAATATTTATAAAATAAGTATTTCCTTGTCTGCAGTGAATTATTCAATGAAATAAAAATGTTTCTAACTAATTCGTGAAGTCATACCTATTATTTTCTGTTCATGAGCATTTTTTTAATATTTTTAAATATTGATCAGGAAAAATATTAAAATACTTTTATTTTTTTTTAATAAGTAATTGACCAAAGTAAGGATTTTTTCCCAAATCTATTTGTATATCTTTTACAAACTTAGTAAATGTCGACTTAATGCGTGTTTTCTGTCTATTGCCTGATTACAAATATTCCCTTATATTATTAGATATTTCTTATTTGATTTCTTTCAGTGCATCGTTTTCTGATCGTAGGTGGAGCTTTTGAATGGAAGAAACACCGGTGCTGAGATGCTGACGACGAAGCGCAAAATTGAACCGAGACAGAAACAAAAACAGAAAAAAAGAAGCAGAAACAGAAACAATGCGAAAATCCACTTTTAAGGTTAATTGGGCATCAAGATTACTGGGTCGGAAATGGAAATGGAAACGGAGGATTTCAGGCCCGTTCTTCTTCGACTTTAGTTTTCTGTTTTCAGTTTCGTTTCAAGAAGCAGACGGATGGACGACTATTTACAAGCAATTTTGTGCATCAAGGCAGATTCACTTTTGTTTGTTTGTTTTTTCTTGGGCCTCTTTACTCTTTTTTTTTTTGTGCTGCTGTTGTTGTTTTTGTCTTCTTGTGGGCGTTAAATTAGCCAAGCGAGGCCCACGCCATTGCGAACGAGGCCCAAGCACAAATCAAATAACGCTGACCCACAAATTGTACGTTAGTTGACCTTTTCTCCTTGGCGTGGGCAAAAAAAAATCAGAAAAGAAATACGACAACGACAAAAAAATCAAACAAAAAAATAAATAAATAACAAAATCAAATCCCTCCGATGGAACTCGAACTCAAATCGAGTCGGCGAAGAAACGAAACGGAACGAACAAAAAATGATCATCCCACCATTAAAGGAGCATTCGTATTTAAATCAATTATTTGTGGGGCGCTTTGTTTAACTTTGACCTTAGCCTGGGGCAGCCATTTGTTGCTGCTACTCCCCCTCCTTTGTGATGAACTCAACATTCCAGTTTCGAGGAGAATGGCCTCATAACTTTTTCAGCTTAGCGTTTGCATCACGAAGGCGGCGAATTCGATTTATTGAAATCGATTGAAGCGATTGATATGAAAACGTTGGGCCGCAGAGGAATGCTTGTTTAAAAGTGTCTGTTGCTACGGAAACATTGCGGCCAAAATGCAAAAAAAAAAAAAACAAAAATTATAATTGGCTTCTCTTAAAAACCAAGACAAAGTCAACACAAAACAACTGAATCCTCTTTGATTTGAATATAAATATATTGTCCAACTTTAATAAATATCTATTAATTGTTTTCTTATTTTTACAATAATATTTTACAATTTTCTAACTTTTTTAAACTAAAATCCTACTATCCACCAAATTAAATATTCCAAACTAGATAAGATATTGCGTCCTTCAAATCAAATTCAAATTAATTCCAACATCGAACTCACCTTGCAGCCCTCGCACGTGAAGGCTCCGAAATGGAATCCAGCCGCCGGCTCTCCACACACCTTGCACGTCTGATTCATCTGCAATGGGAACGAACAGAACACAGGACATGAGAATGGGATTGTAAGTAATTTTGGGGGGGATCTCTAACCCTCTCCCCACCCACCGCCTCACAGAAACTGAGGCAATAAATTCATAAAATTTCAATTAAAAGCAACAGCAAATCATGACACGAGCATCTGGAGCTCTCCATCTCGTTTCGAGTCCCCCAAACCCCCAAAGAGAATTGGAAAACCAGCCGCCAGCGAAATTCACACGCATTAAAAATTAAAATGCAAACATAGTTTGTCATATCGCGAAATTGGTATCAACGAAAGAAAAGGAGCACGGCTAAAAACGAAAAGCGAGAAACGAACGACGACAAATGGAAATGGGAAACGGGCCCAAAGGAGCCCCCAACAAATGGCCAACAAAACCCGACCATGAACTCCCAGCACTGAAAGAAAATGTTGGATTTATTGAATAGTTCTAATGTCAAAAGTGGGCTTGAGATTGAATATAAAAAAAAGTTATAAAAAATAAATATTTCAAACTTTATCAACAATTTTTATATAATTTGTTTTGTAGATCCTAGTTATATTATTTTCTCACTGTGTAAGTGGCTAAGCGTCTCTTCTAGGGGCCCATAATAAAATATGAAGATGGAATCAAATGAAAAATTGCCTCAGAGCACACACACACACTCTTTGAGCAAACAAGCAGCATTTGCATTTATATGGCAAACTCTGTACCTTCCTTTTTTCACCCACCTCCTCCTTCCCTAGCCCCTCTCGCAAATAGGCGCAACTTGTAGCTGAGGGAATATTTGTTTATTTATTGCGAGCGAAATGTTTATCAACAAATTGCCATCAATTGTTGTTTGGGTGCCAGGAGTTGGCTTTTTGTGTTCCCGTGTTTCCCCCTGGTTTTCCATAGTCAGGTTGAAAATTGGGCAGGGGGATCGATCGGATCGGCTGCAATTGCGTTTTTCTTATTGCCACTTGTAGCTGGAACTGGAGCAGAAACTCTGATGACACGCGCACATGCAAAGAGGGGAAAATTTGGCAAGGAGAAGGTTGAACCATGATCGTGGGAGACTTTTTAATGGTTCTTAAATTTTACAAAACGTTTTAGTTAAAATGGGAAAAAAAATTATGTTTTGAAAATAATTTTTCCAACAAGTCCTCGAATTACTAAATAATAATTAAAATATATTTTTTTGATACTGAATGTTTCTAAAGTTTTTCTATTTTAAATTGTTACAAAAATTAAAAAATAAATATTCAAGGAATTGGATATGGGTAGCACAAAAGTAACTACAAATCGTAATACTTTTTTATGACTTGCTCACTTAAGTAATGCCTAAAATCTGGTTAGTAAACCATTAAAAAATCAGTCTAAAAACCAATTCATTGAAACTAATGCTTCGAGCGCAGACCAATTGAAATGCTTTCAAATATATCAAACTAACCGAAAATTGGCTGCCCAACTGGTAGCCACAGTCCATATCTGGCTCATTCCCGAGCCAAGTCAAGTTGGCCACCTTTTCCGAAGGCTTTTGTTATGTTTTATGGCACCAATTGGCCCACGGGCGATTCTCGGCCATAATTCTTGGGGGCCACAAACAATTTGGCACATTACAAAGTAGGAGAAAGCACTCAACACATTCACTTTTCTCACTCGCCTCTCCGGGATCGGGATCGACCGTCCTACCAATAAGCAAATCCCCGACTTGGGGGCGGGGGTCTTAAGAGAATACCATGCCAATTGGCTTAGTTCGTTCAGGTCTGGGGTTCCTTATTTCCCGAGTGGCTGCTGCTATTGTAGGTGCCTTGTTTGACTGTAAAACATGCTAATCTGATTTCGTGTTATGTGTTGAGTTGGAGGTTAGTTTTTGGGCCCCTCCGCTTGGGTTGGAAATAAATTTCCTACGTTTAGGTTTCTTAAAGCGTCGTCGGGTCTGGTCGTTGCCGGCCTGCCTGCCGAACTGCCAGCCTGGCTGGGATTAATCGACAAATAAAAATCACATAAAATAAATTAAAAATTATGAGTTTCAAGTTTCAACAACCTGCGGATTGGCAGCAGATTTAGTTTGATTTTAAATCACAGCCAGCCAGAAAGAGAGAGAGAGGATCGAAAGACGCCGTGAAATTTATGCAGACAATGTGCAATATTAAAAAGCCATAAACATTTATTTTACAACAGACAAGCGACACATTCTTACCAAGGCACTGGGATTAACTGGCTTTCGAGGGAGGAGAACCGATGGCCAAGTTCTGTTGCTCTTACTATGTAATCCTAAGCTATTTGTTTGGTGTCACGTTCGAATTTAAACCAAGTGTCGCACATTGATTTGTGAGTTCATCGCTGGCTAATTAAAGAAACCGTTAAGAAAAAATTTACAATCTCAGAGGGCAGCTTCAGAAACTTCCCTATATTTCTTACCATTTTATAAAATTAACATCTGGAATTTTAAGTGCAATAACTTAATAACTGCCTGCAGTTGTAAAATTCTTACTGATTAGCCATATATTTTAATGGGTTTTGAATATTTGTGTATTATTAATATCACATATATAAAACATAATAAGCTTGGCAGAACAGCTAACCCATAATTACAATCAGCTATTTATAATCTTCTTAATCAACCCTCTTGATTCAGACCTGTTTTAATTTCTTTGTTCACGGCGAAAATTCAGCTTTTTAAGTATATTGCATAATTTGCTTAAGGCATCGCTGCCCCGAAACATTTAAAGTCACAATTAGCCTGGCCATTAAGTGAAAGTGTTATAAATTAGATGCGAGAGCGACAAAAAGACCACATCGTCTGCAAGATTTTAATTAAATACACACAATATTAATAACCTTTTTCTTTGTCAAGCAATTTGTTTTTTTGCGCAACTAACAAAACATTTTTGTCTGTGCGCAGGTTATTGATGGGCAGCGAATATTGATGAGCTTTTTCGACTGCACAATGCCAATTTATTTTAATTAGTTGGTATATTTTCCCGAAATAAAAGTTCCCCCAGTTCCTCAGAAGTGCAACAAGTTGATCCAAGACAAATAGACGTAAAAAAAAATATGAATACCTGCTAAAACTCCACCAGTCATCATCCACAATAGTGGATGCTGTTGATTTTGTGTGTGATTAATTATGGCGATTGCTGTTCTGTTTGTTGTTTGATGTTGTTTGGTTGTTAACCTTAGCGCGCAGCAAAAATAGCAAGTAGAATTTATAATTTTTCATGCCCCGATGATGCAATGAAAAAACGTACGTATATGTATAATAATAAGATGCTTTGTTATATGGCTTATTAAGCTGGGCAAATAAAAGATGCGGCCGCAGAAAAAAACTAAAAAAAATTAAATAAAATTATTAAAATTCATTTAAGGCACGTTTACTCCAGTTTTGAGCTCGGCTTGCCTCGCCTGAAGCTCTCAAGAGCTAAGTGCCATTAAGACCAAGTCCAAGCTCGGTTTAAGTTTCTGCTTATTTTCATTTCTTGCTTCCCTCGCTTCTTTTTGGCAGACCAAAAAAAAATTATGATAATTGCCTGACCTTGGCTGGCATGTACTAATACTAATTCAAATTTGCACATCTAGTGCGCAGATCGCGGATCGCAGGTCCCCTCCCCCTCATCCCCCTCATGATTCGCATGCAATTATAAAAAAGCGCAGGCTAGAGGCAAAAACATAATTTAATTAAAATGAAATCATGCACAAAGCAATTGCCTCGCTTTGTTCATTGTGCGCTGCGGCAAATTGTTCTAGTTTTTAAGTTTTTTTCGCCTTATTCGTTTTATTTTTTCGTTATAAACTCTATTCATGACTCGTCGACACTGAAGACGGTCGTTTGGAGCTCTGTGTGTTGGTGTTGCCCGTCTGTCAGTGATGAGCAGATAAAAGTGTATAAACAAATGCGATTAGCTCTAGACTGCACCCATACTGGACTTAAACAGTAGTGGGAAAATATCTATACTATCATACGGGTACGAACTACAAGTGCAGCTGGCTCTTCTATTAATATTCCGATTTCTAAAGCACCAGAATAAAATTTTATGGACCTCGGTATTACCACTCATTAGGAGATATTAAAAGAACACCTTATGCTAGCTCGATATTTAATAGTTCCTTTTTATTAGTGTTATGCATGTAGCTTTACTTATTTGCATTATTTGTTAGCTGCGTACCTCGTGCAATCATTTCGTAATGGGATTTACACAAGGTATTCTTTAAATATTTATGGCTAAAATCAATTTATACTCCCAAACATTAAACAAAGATGATGCAATTGAAGTCGAATTAGTTTTAAAATATTTAATTGAAAGCGTTTTATATTTAATTTAATTCAATAGAACACCTTTAGCTGCATACAATGACTTTTATTCGCATTAATCTAAATCTAAATCGATTACACTCTCCCATTCGCAACTAGTCCGATCAACTTCTGAAGGCAGCTGCAAAGTAAATAGCTGATTCCAACCCCAGCCAATCAGATGAGTCACGTTGGCTATGCAAACTCGTTTAGTCCCCAGTCGATCGGTAGAAGAGGGGCGAAATTTGTCAAAATGGTTATATCGCATGTTTGATACATTTTTTCTCGGGCTTTCATTTCTTTCTTCTCCTTTTTTCCGCCGCATTACGAATACTTGAGGCAGTTGGAGATTCAGCTGCACACGCATTTCTTTCGCTTTTCCTGACCCAGCAGCACTCCTCTTTGCTTAGTCACGCGGCCTTTATGCTTAGGCAATTTGTCAAAAAAATAACGCACAACAAATTTTACACACATTTTTAGGGGGCCAGCCCTTGGAAGCCCCTCAGGGGAGTGATCAATCATACGAAATCTTTCAGATGGAATCTGCGTTTGTCTTTTGCGAGAGACGATTATTCGCAGTTGTTATAGTTTGGCCAGTGAGAATATTTTTTAGACCACGCTTCTTTTATTTAATGTGTGATTTATCATGTTTTTAACAATTACTGAAAGTTAATACAAATTAGTTTCACTTAAGAGAATTTTTCTTAATTTTATTCCTCAATAAAT